CAGCCACACTTTAACTTTTTTCAACTGTGTTTGCGAGGGTTATAGATATTAAGAAACTTGTTAGATCAACAGACTTTAACACAATAATATTTGCTCACGCAAACATCTTGTTAACACATCTGTAAAATAAAGCGATAACAAAACTTTAACAGTTCTTCATAATCCATATGATTAAAATTTTTGAAGCATAAATAAAGCGGCTGATTTTTCTGAACAAACTCTATGTCTGTTTGTTGAATTTCGCGCAAACATATTCGAGAGCTATCTGTTTTAGCCGTCCATAATTTTGAAGTGATAGAGTAGAGGGAAAGCGGCTATTCAAGACCACCGGCGCCAACTCTTAGGCTACTTTTAACCATTGAATAGTTGGATTGACCGTCTCAAAGGGCGAGTATATCCGATGACAAGTTTCTATCCTGCGACCTGCAGATTGCGACTTGAGTGCTCTAACTATCAGTCCATGATAGATCCAAAACTCTATGATTTGATAGGAGGAAGAAACGCGCGGGGCCCGACATGGCCAGATGGTTAGGGCGCTCGACTCGTGGGTTCGAATCCCCGTCACACCAAAACATGCTCGTCCTTTCAGCCGTGCGGGCTTTATAACTGACGTTTAATCCCACTATTCGTTGGTAAAAGAGTAGCCCAAGAGTTGGCGGTGGGTGGTGATGACTAGCTGTCTTCCCTCTAGTCTTTCACTGCTGAATTAGAGACCGCTGGAGCAGATAGCCCTCGTGTAGCTTTGCGCGAAATCCATAACAAAACAAAACTAACTAACAGAAAAGCGCGAGCAAAGTCACATCAGGCAATCTGTTGTGTCCACTAAGGGGAATCGAACCTCTGATTTTAGCGTTGTAAATCCGTAGACTTATCACATTCCCACCGGGGGAAGGAAGAATCGCATACTGTTCGGAGTTTTTCATATTCGACAAAAGTAAATTTACCATTTTATATATACAACTTTAAAAAGTAATTTACTGCTTAAGAAAATTTACTTAAAACCAAAAGTAACAGAAAGAGAGGGATTACAACAGGTTTTGGTATAATAAATAATAAATAACACACAACGTTAAATAGTACTCAGGTTTTAGTATATATCCAAAAAGAGATTTTTGTATTAATTTTTTCTCAAACACTGAACAATTTATACATCCATAAAATAGCCATGTTATCAAACGAAAAAGAAAAAAAATTAACGGAAAAAAATGAGTTTTATATTTATCTGTAAAAAAATGTAACTGTTAATTTGCAATAAAAAGACTGGCAGCCGAACTGCCAGACCTTTTTCCGTGAAAATAATCAGAACCTAAAACTAATTCAAGGTGTCGTACTTTAACTTTACATCAATTTACCGTGGAATTTTACTGTAATTTACCCTAGAATAATTTCTGTAGTCTGTATTCTAAGTGTTTTTTCCTTTCATTCTACAAGGAAATATCCTTAAATTACGGTTATTTCACATAAAACAAGTGTTTTACCATGCATTTATAATGTGTTTCACTGTTATTCCACATAGAAATACGTTTAAATTAATGTGTAATCCACATAAAATTTATATTTTATGCATGCATTTGTAGTGTTTTTCACAATCAATCTGCACATAAGGCCTTATGACTGAAAGAGCAGGCATTTTCAGTGGTGGGATTTAAACTCGCAACCCGCAGATTACCTTAAGTACCAGACCGTGCCAGGCCTAGAAAGTAACGTGTATAGCATATCATTAAAGATGGCATTCAAAGAAGGACTAGAAACATTTTAAAATCTATGTAACGTATTCAGTGATAAATTCTAGTAAAAAGTTAAATCGAATTAAAAATCACAGGGTTTATTCGAATATAAGTTCGAAATAAATAGTGAATTGAGTCCCATTTTTGTTATATCGTAAAACAAATACACTACTTGTTGAAATACTTCCAACGTAAAACTTTAAGTTAATGTAATCAAAATGAAATATTGAACAGTTACAAACATCAGTATAATAGGTGACTTCGATGTAAAGTGACATAGCGATACCAATTTAAAAATTAGTGGAACGTTGTCGACATACAAACAACAATTATTTTCATCTCTGTGATTTCATTGTGTTAAACAACAATTATTTTCATCTCTGTGATTTCATTGTGTTAAACAACAATTATTTTCATCTCTGTTAATCAGTGTACTACAGCCAAGATCACAACAATTAGCAAAAACTATTTTTCATAAATTCTTAATTTTGTTTGTTCGTTTTGTGTAAGTGCAAAACTGTACAATAAGCTATCGGCGTTGTGCCAACTGCAGGGGTTGAGCTTTGGCATAACGCTGAGTCACCGGGGGGGGGGGGTATAAAGCTCTTAAGCTTATCGCTGAGCCACCGAAGTAAGGATAACTGATGCTAGTAGTTTCAGTGATGAGACAGTAAAATAAACAAACACTTATACTACAACATTAAGCTTGTACTTCTGTAAACTTTAAGATTAAGTGATTAGACGTTTTAGAGAAGATCAAGGAGATGACACTTACTGATATCAATAATACATTTCAAGCACAATGAAATCACAGAGATGAAAATAATTGTTGTTTAGCACAATGAAATCACAGAGATGAAAATAATTGTTGTTTAACACAATGAAATCACAGAGATGAAAATAATTGTTGTTTAGCGCAATGAAATCACAGATGAAAATAATTGTTGTTTAGCACAATGAAATAAAGAAATCGAGCTCTGTTTCGTGTACCAGCTCATTAGTTATCGCTTCTGTTTCTATATCCTGCTACTCAAACAAAATATTTGTATGCTAAGGAAAAACACTTGATATAGCACGTGGGGAGACCCCAATGCACGTGTTTTCTCCTAAGACAGAGCTATCATTATCACCAGAATGTTGAAAGTTAACGTGATCCTTTTTACATTTGACTGAGGATCAGTTTTATCATTTGACCTGTTAACAGGATGAACATAAGACTCGAATAATACCATAAAGTCCAGCATATACTTTGCTGACATAATGCAGATTGGTCAAATCAATTTTGTAATTCAGATATGTCAGAAAAGATATATATATATATAAACTCTCTTAAAGCATGCCTCCCCCACCCAAACTACTCAGCGATAAGTCTAAGGACTTAGTACGCTAACCTTTGGGTTTCGATACCAGTGGTGAGAAAAGCACAGACAACTCATTGGTTAGCTTTGTGCTCAACTACAACCGTATCAACTACAATCAAACCTAAAGCATGTTCATTCCGTTTTACAGATAACAATCGAGAGGCACCCGCAGATGATACCGATATCTGTTTTAACCACCAAGCTGTATTTGAACATGAAATAGACACAATGACAGCAGAACGAAAAGTAAATTCAACCTTTACACAAATACACATACGACGCAGGTGATAAATAGCTCACCTCACGGGTAGTTTTTCGTTTGTGCGTGTGTGTGGTAGCGTGGCTTAGTTACGTCACGTTTTGAACTAGAAGTTGGATGATTGCGTCATGCTGTTGTGTCCTTAAGTAAGACACTTAACACCAATATTTCCAGTCTACCCTGCTATATATAGTGGATGACAAATGTCAGTTGGGAGGTAAGTTGAGATGGACTACACCCCATTCAGGGGGATTCTTATCCACTTGTGCCAAATAAGCAGAAGTTCAGCACCAGATCCTATGTGCTATCTCAGCATGAGAAGGATTTGACCTTTGACATGTAGATTTTGAATAATTATTCGATAACAGAATAACAATGGAAAGTTATTTGTCTAGAGAAAACATAATAGTTAAACTACATGTGTGTGTGTATAATATGTGTGGGTATTTATATGCATGTATATAAGAATGGGTATTATTTGTATTAGTTAAACTACATGTGTGTGTGTATAATATGTGTGGGTATTTATATGCATGTATATAAGAATGGATATTATTTGTATTAGTTAAACTACATGTGTGGTTGTGTGTGTATAATATATGTGGGTATTTATATGCATGTATATAAGAATGGATATTATTTGTAAT